ATAATACTCCCTCCGTCCACTGTAAATGTCCCTTTTTACCATATTTATCTGTCCCACTATTTTGTCCCATACCATATTTGGTTATATTTGTGCGGTTGACATTCAATATTAATAGTTATTTGTCACTTTTCTTATTTTTCGTGCCACTACCCCATGTCCCAAAATATAGTGGGACGGAGGGAGTAATAATACACAAAGCATAAAATGTTGGAAGATTGTCCAAGTTGTTTTTCTAATTTGAAATTTGAGATTGATGAATGAGAAAGAGGGAGTGTTTGATGTATGCTTTTTAATGTAGTCCAATATTTTGAAGTTATTAAAAAAATTTAAAAACCCACTTGTCTAAGAAGAAGAAAAACATGTAATAGACTAGTTTGAATTCCTACACTCATCTAAAACATGTAGAAATGTGCTCATCAAACCAACCATAGAAACAGTTTCATTTAGCTAAATTTGAGTAACGCATTTGGAAGAACATTAGCTATTTAACGCTGAGGGGGCACGTAGCTAAGAGAAACTGCATGGCTTTCTATTTTCTAAATCTTGTACCTTGTAAAATCTGCCAAACTCATGCTTGAGGTGACTAATTTAGCTTCACACAAGTTTTTTGTCCATTCATTTTTAAAACTAGATCACAAATTACAAATATCGGCTTGGAGTTTACTTTATGATATCCAAAAATATCTACCTATGTTCTCATCTAATATTGTGAAATTGTTAGGACATTTATAAAAAAGCAGCAGAATTCTGGGCTGAATTGAGAGTAGAATTGCTGTCAGCAAGCACACTCATCACTGAGACTAAACCCAATTCTAGTCAGCTTTGGAGACTTTACTGGGCCAATCACCAGGTTCCTTTCTTGTTCACACTTCACAGCGGAATAATCTTATTTTGAACATTACAGTTTAATAACTATTAATCCAATTCATTTTAACCAGTCTCCATCATTGCTTTTCTCAATTATAGCGTTTCTTTAGACACATCTGCATGTCCGCTAAGGTGCCTGCAATAGTTAGACTTGCTAAGCAAGCTTTGAAAGAAAATAAATGTGTGGTGATAGGCTTGCAAAGCACTGGAGAAGCACGAACTGAGGAAGCTATATCAAAATATGTAAGTGTGCAGGGTTTTGTTGTTAATTCCCTCATGAAAATACATGTTATCTAGTCATTTTATTTGTTCTTCGTTAGGGTCTTGAACTGGAGGATTTTATTTCTGGACCACGTGAACTATTACTAAAATTTGTTGAAGAGAACTATCCTCTGCCTGAAAAGCCTGAGGAACCTCCAGGTATGCATGACTTTCTTCCTGTGTTATGTAGTTTTCTGTTTTCACCGGCAGGCAACAGCTTCACTTTCTGATTTTAATGGTAGAGGAAAGTGTGAAAGAGCTGCAACGAAAGAGACATCTAGCAACACCTGATGTATCATTTAGAGGCAGAATGAGGAAAGTTACTAAATTGCAGACTACAAGAGATGACAAAACTGATGAGGAGTCAGAAAGTAAATTAAGCAATTCCTGGATATAATTCACTTACAGTTTGGCCAGTATATTTCATCTGATTTTAATTTCGAATATCTGAAATCTAGTTTTCTTTCAAGTACAGCATTATTTCATTCATGAACACGTGCATACTGCATACTTTATCAATGGCTCTTCTGAAGGAAACAATGTTGTTTTTCCAACTTCGAAAACCACTTTAGTGCATCACTATTGGACTGTTTATTGAGACCACCTCTCCTAAGCTCCTGCAGTGATAAACTATTTTTCTTTGTGTATGTTGCTTTCAGTTTCTAGTGCAGTAGTGTTATTCTATTACTTATTAGTTAATTTAATCACGTGCAGTTGATTCTGAAGATGAATCTTCCGAGTCTGATGATGATGAGTTTCAAATTTGTGACGTTTGCAATTTAGAAGAGGTATATATAATCCAGTGTGTTTACTGTCTGTGTTGTGTTTCTCTTATAGATTTTCAGCCTATTTTATCTCTTGTAGGAAAGGAAGAAGTTGTTGCAGTGTTCATGTTGTGGTCAACTAGTTCATACCGCATGTGTACTTCCTCCTGTTATAGACACAGTGTCTGGAGATTGGTCCTGCCCATCATGCAAGGAAAAAACAGATGAATATATACAAGCGAGGCAAGCATATGTTGCCGAACTTACTAAAAGGTATAATATACTCAGAAATGTTCAATGTTGAATAATGGTGAATTTTTGTTGCTAAAAGATTTTAATCACGACTTAAGGTATGCCGGAGCTGTTGGCCGAAAATTAAAAATTTTGGATATCATTCGTTCACTGGACCTCCCTAACAATCCCTTGGATGATATTATCGACCAGGTTCTTGACCTCTCATCTAACGTGAATTTTTTTAAGATCCATATTGTGCACCTGCAAATTTTCACTTTGCTAATCAACTATAATGCATTCTGCAGCTAGGAGGCCCTGAAGATGTTGCAGAAATTACAGGGAGGCGAGGCATGCTAGTTAGGACCTCTGATGGCAAAGGTGTTTCCTATCAGACACGGAACACGTAAGTTTCTTATTTTGGCAGTTTAGAAAAAAACGTTAATGATTATTGAGAACTGTCAACATTTTCTGTTACTGTAGGAAAGATGTGTCAATGGAAATGGTAAATATGCATGAGAAGCAGCTATTCATGGATGGCAAAAAGTTGATAGCCATTATTTCTGAAGCTGGGTCAGCCGGTGTTTCTTTGCAAGCTGATAGAAGGGCAATAAATCAGGTAAGCTGTGTTTTCTGTTACATTTCTTTGGACCTGGTCTCTGGGTTTCCATGTTTAAATTTCAGTTATGACTTTCAGAATTTCCAAATATTTAAGTGCTGAAATATCTTCTCATTCGGTTTAGCTAGCTTGTCATTTAACTGGTTAATTTTCTGTGTATAGACAAAAGTTTTCAAAATTTGTAGGGTCTATGTGTCAATTTGCAATTAAAAAACTTTGTGAAAAAGTGGACGGATCCTCGTGGATCCCACCATTTTTGGATTTCCCTTTTGGAATAGAAAACATAGTGAACATACCCTTAACTTCATAGCCACATCGTCAAACTGTTTTTTTGCGTCTCATTGTGGCTTGTTGTAGAAAAGAAGAGTTCATTTAACTCTAGAGTTGCCATGGAGTGCGGACCGTGCAATCCAGCAATTTGGCAGGACTCATAGATCAAATCAAGCTTCAGCACCTGAGTACAGGTAGTAACAACCTCTATTTGCACACGGGTAATTGGTGTTTGGAAAGACATGTGGCAGTATGTAAAGCAACAAGTCGAGCAGAGTTGAAACTCATTATACTCCCCCCGTCCATAATTTATCTTCTCACTTTTCTTATTTGTCCATCCATAAATTATCTTCCATTTCCTTTTTTGGCAAATGCTTTTTCTTTATTCCACATTACTACTCTCATCTTTCCTATTAATTAGTACCCGTAGCTACACTTTATTTCACATTTTACAATAACCCAAGGAAAAATATGGAAAGTCAACACAATTTATACTTTTCCTTCATTTACGTGTAAAGTCAAAGCAGGAAGATAGTTTTTGGACAGAGGGAGTATGTGACAACTACGCTGAACCAATTAATTTCATTTCTAAATAATTCTCTTTCGTTTTGGAATGAATCTTAGATTGCTTTTTACAAATCTTGGTGGTGAACGGCGGTTTGCATCAATTGTTGCTAAGCGATTGGAGACCCTTGGGGCACTTACACAGGGCGATCGAAGGTGGGTTTGATATGTGGGCCTGTGGCCATTATTATAATTTCATTATTAGTATTGAGCCATGGGTCTTTCGGAAATAGCCTCTACCTGTTATTGGAAGGCGTTCTCCACTTGGGACACCTAGGGTGCTCCGTTCGAAAAGTAGTTCCTACTTGGTAAACCCCCCGGTAAATTGCCCCCAAACCATTCCATCCCCCCAAGTCCTCAACCACGACAATTGCACCCCACACGTTTAGTAGACTTCGGGGTAAAAGTTTTTGACCTCAAACTCAACTAAATTCTCACCTTGCAATTGATGTGGTTGGGAAATCGGTTGTGGCCGGGAGGTGGGGGGTTAGGGGGTAGAAAATATCAATTTTGTGTACGGAGTACCATAGATGTCCCAATTGGGACGTATCCTCCGTAGACACTCTCTTTGAGTGGCTATAGAACCCCTTCGTGTGTGCATGTGTGTGTGTGTGTGCATGAGAAAAGGTTATTGTGTAAGGAAGTGTAAACTTTTTTTTTGGGATGGATGGAGTATTATACAAGCGGTCAGATATTCAATTGCACATATTTTAGTGACTTATTCTAAGTGAGTATGTTGTATGTTGCAGGGCTGGACCATCATTAAGTGCTTATAATTATGATAGTGCCTTTGGGAAAAGAGCCCTGATGATGCTGTACCGAGGAATAATGGAGCTGGTATTTACCCTAATTACACGATACTGTTATTTTTGCTGTTTTTTTACACATGGACTTGCACATTTGACTGTCGAATACCATTCTTTTATCCACAGGAGTCTTTGCCTGTTGTACCACCAGGATGTTCTGCTGATAAACAAGAGGAGATACATGATTTCATTGTAAAAGGGAAAGCTGCTCTTGTTTCAGTTGGAATAATAAGAGACTCAGTGCTTAGTAGTAATGTCCATCAGCTTTTTTTATTTGACATTATGCTTCATTTTCAATTTTACAGAATTTGTCTCTTTTAAGTTTTAACTGAATAACAGTTTTAAAGGAAAAAGTAAAATTTGACTTGTTTCATTAGAGTCAAGCTATTAAAGTGCAACACGTTTCTTTGTGTACTTGTCTTGTTTATTTTACACCTACTACCTGCATATTTTCGGTACATATTTTTGCATTTTTTGTGTAATGTGTACAGAGTACAATTTATAATAATGACAAGCAATGAAATATCTTGTGGTTGTACTGGGTGGTGGTGGTGGGGGAGTAAGGTTTTTTTTAGCAAGAGCCATCAAATATTTCTGGTTACTTCTTTACTTTCTTTACAGAATTCCTTTTTAAAACCTTTATGAAGGTAATGGCAAGGACTCTGGAAAGATTTCTGGTCGTATAGTTGATTCAGACATGCATGATGTTGGGCGTTTTCTTAACCGGCTGTTAGGTCTGCCACCTGAAATCCAAAACAGGTCTGTAATTGCTATTTAAGACAGTAAGGTTACTGACTTATTGTACATTTCTACTATGTCTTGAAAAGTTTTTCCTTTTCCAATCTACACGCCTTATAAAGTTCCATAGGCTTTAACTTATTACTCTATCTGTCCCATATTTAAGTTCCCATTTGCTTTTTTTAGAGAGTTTATGCACAAGAGAAATAATACTACATGTGAACATTACAATAAACATGAACATTACAATTCTTTCCTTAAGAGTAGGGTAAACTTTATTTTGGGACGTCCATAAAAGGAAAATGGGTATTATGTGTGAAGGAGGGAGTAGAAGTTAATATGTGAAAGCACAATTTTATTGATGGTTTTTTTAGAGGATTGGACAACATTTAGAGATGCATTAAGATGAATTCTCGACATCTCTAATTGGATTGGAGTTTCTTTTTGTTAATGTACACTATGTTAATCACTAAGTATTGTTATTTGTTCATAGGCTCTTTGAGTTATTTGTCAGCATTCTAGATCTTATCATTCAGAAAGCTCGTATGGAAGGAAATTTAGACTCTGGGATTGTTGACATGAAAGCTAACAGTGTTGAACTTCAAGGGACTCCTAAGGTTGTGATATTTTTTTATTTTCAGTTTCATCTTTCAATGCACATCTTTTCTTACTTCCATATTTAGTTGTGCTTTCTTATTAGGAAAAATTATATAACATGGCATTTACCATCATTTTGTTTCAGACCGTTCATGTTGACAGTATGTCTGGGGCATCAACCATATTGTTTACTTTTACACTTGACCGTGGATTCAGTTGGGAGGTTTCTTCCAGTAAACCTATTTAATGGTTCATCTTCAAATGAATTCTCTATCTTTTCTAACTTGATTTCATCTTTTGTTGTGTTTCTGTGCAGCATGCTTCTGCATTGCTCGAAGACAAGCGGAAAGATGAGTCGGGTTCAACTGTAATTGGATTTTATGAATCAAAGAGAGAATGGCTGGGACGACGTCATTTTTTATTGGCATTGGAAGGGTATTAAAACTTGACCTTTTTTGCTTTCTTTTTTATGTTCAATTCCGATAACAAGACTTTATTCATGTATACATGTAGTACAACTAAGGTTGCATATGAATATTAGTATCACTCTATGGAGAACCAAAGTTTATAAGCTAGTAAAGTTTTTTTACAGCGTCCTACCTTTGCATAATTTTGCTCAACATTGAAAGGTTATGCTCCTGAACCTTGAAAGGTTCAGCTTAAGCCTTAAGTGTAATTAATAATAGTAAAGGAGGTGTCTTGTGAGGGGATTACCACCATCCACTGCCACCAGATAAAAGTTTTAGCTTCTAATAAATAATGGGCTAAATCAAAATGGCAAATTAAATACTCCTAGCTTCTTTATGAAATTTTGGGCAGTAAATAACAAATATGCATCAAGGGTCTAACAGAAACAACCTCTATGTTCTTTTCACAGGGGTAAGGTTGCGTACATCTTGGCACCCTTCCCCCGCCCAAGACTCCGATGGAATTGGGATTATACTGGGTTGTATTTGATACTATTAGAATTTCATATTTTAATTTGAAAATTGAACTGTTTGATTATGATTCAATTCGTTTAAACCTAAACTTGGATCTGCATTGCCTTTTTCAGCTATACATACCATGACAAAATTTTCAGCAATCTATTCCTCAAGAAGATGAAGATTTTAGTTAATGTACTATATTATGCCATTTTAGCCAAACTAGTTCATATGAATTTCTTGATAAATCTCAGGAATTATAGGATTTGTATCTACAATATTACTCAGTGTTATGTATTTGTTCATCACAGTATGCATCCACTATGAATGTAAATCTTTTTTTAAATGGTCAATTTCGCTGAATACCTATGGTAATTCTACATTAACCTTTTTTTACATTCCAGCAGTCGTTTTGTTCTATTTCTAACTTTCAAGTATTTATGAATTCTGCTTATGCCAGCAATTGATTTTTACGCTTATGTTTTTGTTTGTGTTACAGTTCTTTTTCTGGAACCTACAAGCTATTCCGTCCTACTCTTGGAGAGGCCCTGAGGTAATCTAAAATTTTTCGGAGTATTTCTTAGGCTTCAAGGGGTCTTTTTTACTTGAAATATCTCATCATTCTAGTTGTAATTTAGCAAATATGGGGGTTTTCCTCTTCCATTTTTGTTTTTGTTTTTTAGTCCACCCCGCCCCCTGGTTTCGTTGATTATAATTTTGTTGGTGCTTCTGTCTAGGGAAATGCCGCTTTCTGAATTGCAAGACAAGTACAGGAGAGTATCTAGTTTAGATAAGGCTCGAGCTGGCTGGGAGGATGAATACGATGTTTCATCGAAGCAGGTGATATTATATGCTGTCATAAATCTTTTCAAACGTTCTAACCCTGAATATGTGGTACTTCTTCACCTTTCTATATCTTTCCAATTTCCTAGCATCATGAAAAAACGTAAATTCTCGCCTTCTCTTCATAATGATTTACCTTTGTTATGCGGAAGTTATGGATGGGAAAAACAAAGACCTCAATCATATTTGAGATGTTGATTACCAAAGTGTCTTGGCTTGAGTTTATTATCAACTGTGATGAACAATTAAATAACATTGAGTAATATTGTGGATACAAATCTTTGAAAAACATTTTTTTGGCTTTTAAAAAGCACTCAGTAATGGCATCTGAACATATTTCCTTCACATGCGAAATTTTTTCTAAACTGGAATCTAAAAGGGATCTTAATGCAGAGTTAAGTCCAAGACTAACACAATAAAGTGATATGTTATGGGTCATGGTGGTTTGCTCTTAAATTTATTTTGAAAATAATTTTATATCTTATATTGTACTCCGTAATAGAATTAGTTAAGTCTTGAATAAGAGAATGTTCACACTTGTTGTTATCACTAATTATAAGTATAGTGAACTATTAATACAAAAGGCAAAGGTAAACCATAAACATTTAATGACCAAAATAGAGGTCCAAGTCACTGGAATCCAACATCAGAGAACTTTATATTTTCTGACCATTCAAACAAGCCTTTCATTTGAAGTTATGAACCGACCCAAATTGAGTTGCCTAACTAAAAATCTTGTCCACTTTTTCTTTGAATTTACAATTATGCGTCCATGATTCAAGAATTTTCTAGATTATTTGGAGTTCATACTTTTTTATACTTCAACTCCAACTCGGTTTGTCATAAAAGTATGTAATCCATGAAAAGTTTGGGTTCATTTTGTGGAAAGCTTGTTTAAAAAGCTAAATGGGCAAGAATTAAACTTGGGGTACCCCATTTTTTGACCCCAAATTTGACACCACACTGCAATGTCTGTGACGATGTGGTGTCACACTTGTGGTAAAAATGGGGTGCCCCACTCCTCAAGCATGACTCCTTGAGTTCAGTTCCTAAAAATTGTTAAGCTAAGATTGAGGCTCAAGTCTGATTTAATACGGAGTACAGAGTAAGTTTTAAAATGCCATTCTCATTCATTCAAATGGGCATTACATCCAAAAACCAGACATAAAATTAGAAGTTGTGGCTATTCATTCGCTGGTTTTTGAATCACACATGAACTCTACGATTAGAGTTCCACAATCATAATAACACGACCAAACATGAAACATGAACATAAAATCATGAAATCATGAAATGTCATCAAAAGCCTAAATCTAAACTTACACATATAAGAGATGAAAAACATTTACAAAAGATGTAAAAACATTAATAACCTGGGGAAGGATGGGGCAACTACACCTTTACGAAGCTGAGCCAGAAAAGGTGATGTTGGAGATCTCCTGCGTCTTGCCTATTTTCAACATGAAAGGAGACTTGACTCTAGGATTGATTCTCAGATCTAAAACAGGGCTGTTAGTCTACTGTGTTAAGTTAAACAAAAGATTTGTTCTTTTTCTAGAGACTTGCGTCAGTGGTTAACGGTTTTGTGTGTTTGCATCCCTAGCTCAAACCTTATCCTCATTTCCCTCATTTTTCTGCATGCTTTTTATATAGTTTTCGCGATGCATAATTTTTATGATTCTTCCAGATTTCTGGCTGTGCCCTTCTCTATAGATCAAAGTTTTCTCAACTTAACGTGCCATTGTGTTCAAGGAGCTCTTGATAACTGTGGATTGGTTCACTCATATGAGAAGGTTGTACTTGGGGGGGGGGTATGGACTTTATAGGTAAACGTGTTCTAGACTATAATCAGGTCTAAACTCCTTGATTCTTGTACAACCAGCTTGTTCAGTTACAGGCTATAACATAATTAGGAGGAAAGTTGGAAATCATTTTGTTTGGCATGAGCTTTAGCCCCCTGTAAAAGTATTTCTATAAGATGTGCGGATAAGCTTAGTAGTAATTATTATTTAAGGATATGACTTTTGTGTTTTGCTAGTACACGTACGTGGGTAAGTCTGAAAAGTTTGAAACCGTATGCACGTTTTAGCTCTACAAATGGATGCATATAATCTTCAGAAAAACATCATGTGCTAGTGTGCTACATCACAAAGGGAATTAAAGAATATGTATGAAAATGTACGGGGTGGAATTTAGTTGAAGGCTGAGGTCTCCATATATAGCATATATGCGGGCTGTGATTGCTTTTTGATGTTAGCGACTTGGAGGGCTTGTTTTGGCCTTTCTTGAGTTTTGATGGACTTTGAATGGCAGGTGGATAGTTGATCTTGTTGGGTTACACCCCTCCTATACTTGTATATCTCTTTTGGATTCATCAATATAAATGGCTTGTTTATAAGGGGCACAACAAAAACAAAAATATTATCAGAGAATTATTGAAGTAACAACAACAACAACAACAACAACAACAACCCAGTTAAATCCCACAAGAGTAGGGTCTCGGGAGGGAGGGGAGGGTGTGTGTACGCAGACCTTACCCCTACTCGAAAGTAGAGAGGCTGTTTCCAAAGAGACCCCCGGCTCAACGTCGAAAGTTGCATTGCTTGACTAACTGCTACTTCATTAATTAAAGAAGCGAAAACAGTTTAGAGATCCTTTTTGATTTATTCCATCACACCCCAAAGCAAAAAAATGGCGAAATTTTGGCTCCATCGGAGGTGATGGAGCAAAAATATTGAAAAGTAACAACAAAAACATTGAAGTACAAACCAACAAACTACTGAACAGTAATTTGCCTCTAAAACAACAAATTGAAAAAAAAACTTGAGCATGTTTCAATTTAAGTTTTCTCATTTGATGTGCTTGCTTCATTGACAGTGCATGCATGGTCCAAAATGTAAATTGGGCAATTATTGTACTGTTGGCAGACGACTACAGGAAGTGAATGTCTTGGGTGGCCTTGTACTTCCTGTGTGGGGAACAATCGAAAAGGCTCTTTCGAAGCAGGTATATGGTTTTCCATTCTTGAAATTTATTTATGTACTAATCCTGAATTATTATACAGCGTATTTGTTTTAAATGTTTTGCAAACAAGTTTAATGTTTAGAACAATATACTGTAGGATATGTTTGTAATTTTTTACTTTATTGTAAGCTTTGACGATTAGTCTCTCTCTCTCTACTACTACTACTACTACTACTACTACTACTACTACTAGTCTACTACTCAAGACTCCCATGGGTATACTGCACACCTGTATTTGTGATGGTATAATGCCTGTTTGGGCTATTTTTTCCAGCCATTGATGGTTCTCATAGAAATTAAAGAGCAAACCATTGTTGGCTGGGCCAATCTTTTCCCGATGCTACATAATTTGGCATATGAAATTTGAAGATTTTCTCAATCTGGCAAGGCTCAAATGTCTCTTTAGCAGCAAGGAAATCCAGCCCACCATGCTCTATAATCTATATTTAGTGTTTATCCCTTTAATGCATTCTCGTTGTATTAATTTAAACATCTGAATTAGGCACGCCTCAGCCATAGACGTATCCGTGTTGTGCGGATTGAGACTACAATGGACAAACAGCGGATTGTTGGGTTGCTCATTCCAAATGCAGCTGTGGAATCCGTACTCCAAGGTTTGATGCTTACTGCCTCCATATTTCCTTTTTCAGTCTCTGCACTTTGCACCCACTTTTACATAAATACTCGGACAATTTCTCAAGATGTTTCCTAAAATGTCAAATCACTTGGCATGTCAGAGCAATGCTTGCTGCTTCTTGTGATCGAATAGAAATCAATTTCTACATGAAGTTTTTACTGTATTATTCTCTATCAACTTCTCAAGTCCACACTGCAAGTTTCTTTATGTGGCTGTGTGAATGAAGAATATGATTTATTGGTGGACAGTTTGAGTTATTTTGAATATGCATAAGTCACGTCTACTTCTGTACCGGGCAACCGAATCAATGCATCGGATAATTTTTATCTTAGGCTTGGACACTTTAGTGTCTTGGTTCTTTTTCTTCTTCTTTGGCAGCTTGAATTCCATAATGTTTCAGATTGAGTAATACTTCTTCGTATGATGAATGAAAACACTGAATATTTTATTGCAGATTTGGCCTGGGTGCATGATATTGAGGATTGAGTGAAACGCGGATATTATTGTTGAAAGAAGCCGTGCAGGATTGGTCTGTAGTTGCTAGTGAAGAACCCTACCTATTTCGGACTAAAAGTGCACAAGGCATTTACATTAGATCAACCAACCGCATGCCTGCTGATTCATACAATTGTTGATATCATATTTTTTTTGGGGGGCCGGTTTTTTACCTGTGTTAATTTTGTAAAGCATAGCTCATAATAATAATAATAATATTATTATTATTATTATTATTATTATCATTACTTCAGCCTTTTGTAAGGCAATATATTTTGTAATGTAAAAAATGAAAGGAAAAAGAGGAAGAATGGCAATAGTTATTGACGTTCATTCCTACAATGTGTTTTTATATGGATCTATTTTTTGAGACAGTTGAGGCACAAATGAGGAGTATTGGTGTTTAACATCTATGCACCCTCTTTAAATAGCTAACTCACCTTTGGATGTTCCATATAAAGCAGTTTTGCTTGTATGGCATCATGCTCCACAAAAGCGAGTGGGTCATCAATAAGATATACTTGAAACTCAAATCTTGCCCATTCTCTAAAGTAGAGAGACATTTTTGAAAAGATACAAGTTTGAAATAAACTTGATCCAAAGATGATCTTGAATGAAAAAATACCCTCGAATCCTTCAAATCCCAAATAGATTATAATTTTTTTCTTTCTCCTCGATAGTTTTTTTTATTTGTGTATTTTTATTAATTATTTGATAAAATAAAATACTCTTGTCACATTTCATTTTGTAGAATTTTTGGCGTATTTTTTTATTATATAATTCTTATTTATTATTGATGCAACAATTTTTAATAAAATGATTTCAAATGATGAGAGATTTTGTCTCGAACTCTCACTTTGTAATTAAATTAGGGACGGATGGAGTAATATAAAAAAATAAATTATTCCCTTTGTCCTAAATTGAATTGCCTGATTACTACAATATCACCATTAGTTTTGTAGATCTTTTGATGCACTCTCTCCAATGTCTCAATTTATATTGCCTGCTTTGGTTTACGATGTTTGATACGGAGTAAAAATTATTCTCAAATTATTTTATATGAAAAATAGTTTAAAGTTAAAAAGTAAAATTGAATATTAAAATGCTACGGAGTACATCAAAAGATCTACAAAACTAGTGGTGACATGACTATTTTATTTTTTCAGATGACTAACGAAAAAGAGAAAAAAAATTAATGAAGTTTGATAATTTGGGACTGAGAGAGTAGTTTTGAAATATGTAATTTTTATTTTATTTTTTTTAACAATATACCGTTTTAATATAAATTTATAAATAACTTTAGTTAAACATTCAAACATCGTAAACTAAAAAAAGTAATATAAATTGGGATGAAGGGAGTAATAAAAATCAAATAATATTTTATAGATATTCAGATTTACAAAGTAATTTTAAATTTTTAAATAATTAAATTTTAGGGAGTATTGTGTTTGTGCACACTAACTTGAAAATTTAAATAAAGTGAATATTGTGAGTGGACGCTTTTAATGTGGTTCAACCTAAGTGTCTTATTGCCCAATCTAGATGTCCATACTTCATCCTAAATTTATCAAATTTATAGAAAATGTGTTAGTAAATTTCAAATACTCCAGCACCCACCCCCCAGCTCCAAGCCAATTATCTAAATTGAAAGACCTTTCATTCCCCAGAGTTGCGTTCATCTGCACATTCCAGACTGAAAATGCGAAGACGCGACGGAATCCACAGATGATTCTCGTTCTAGGGTTTTGAAGGAAGAACGAAGAGAAAGAGAGAATCCATCCGTATAGTAACGGGGAGGAGTAAGAGAAAGTCATAAGGGAAAATTAGGACGGGGAGGAGATGCCGCTTTTTCTGACCGATGCAGAATTCGAGGGCTGCTCTCACGACCCGAGGCTGGTGGCGGAGAAGGCAGACATATTCATCAGGGAGCTTTACAACCAACTGGAAACGGTGAAGGCTCAGGCGGATGCCCACTCCATCACCGCCGAACAGAACTGCTCCCTGGTCGAGCAGAAGTACGTTTCCATTTGTTCTGAGTTCTCCGCTCTCCAATCCCAGCATTCCCAGCTCAACTCATCTCTCGATCAACGACTCTCCGAGCTCGCCAAGCTCCAAGCGGACAATCAACAGCTTCACCTCCTTTCTGTATGCACCACAAATACACAACTCCCCCTTTTTTTAAAAAAAAATTTATTTTATAGAGTATTTATTGAAGAGATATCGTTGTAATATGCTCCCGACACTGTTTTGTTACTTTTATGGGACCAAAAAGATTGGCAAAGATGGGGAGATTGAACGCCTGTCTGCAGAGGTATCTGAGCTTCACAAATCCAAAAGACAGTTGATGGATTTACTGGGGAACAAGGATTTAGAGATAAGTGAGAAAAATGCAACAATCAAAAGTTACCTGGATAAGATAGTACGTACTGTGCCTTCGATTACCATCTGTCCTAGAGATGATTTCATGTTCATTCATAATTGCAACGACATGTTCTTTACATGTTTATACAAATTCATTTCTCAAGGTCATGCTATCTGAAAAAGCTGCATCAAGGGAAGCACGGTTGAGTGACTTGGAGTCTGAATTGGCTCGCTCTCAAGCTTCATGTTCACGACTAGTGCAGGTACTATCAAACTCTGTTTGTGATGAAGGTATAAAGGATCCTAAGCAATGTAAAAGGGGAAGGAAGGATAGGTGTTAGTAGTTATCTTAACCTTGTTTGTGAGAGATATATTTCACTTTTTTGTGTGTGTAATAATACTCAAGTCTTGCTAAATATTCAATAAGCAGTTACTAACTATGAAACAAATATAAAACCATGCATGTCAGGATACAAATTCTGGGAATGAAAAAAACTATAAAGCTAAAAATACTAATCAATAAACAGAGAACAAAAAACTACACACATACTGTAAACTGACAAAAGATGCTTAGAAAACAACAGAGTATTGTGTCATGTAGAAGAGAGTGGCTTGGGATATGGAAGGACAAGCTGCTCAGAGAAGAGCAAGAGGAGGTTTCATTTTGGAATTTATTGTTGATGTCCTCTTGGCCTTTTCTTAATATGCTTACACTTCAATTTGGGGTGTAAGAAAATTTACATCAAGTGTAAGGAGGAATATAACACACGTGCATGCACATCCTTAGTCTTTACAACTTTTTTTCCTTTAAATATCAATTTCAACCAAAACACAGTTAAATTGAGCCCTTTCTTACACCTCCACCACATAACCATCTCTCTCTACATGCAATAGAGTGTAAAAATTCTTTTTGCTGTCTGGTACATGTCGCCCCCTCTGTGACTGTTCACCAGTTTTCTTTGGTTGCTGATATTTCTTTAATGATATTTTCTTAAGTTTTTTTCTAGTGTGGCTTGAATTTTCCAAAATTTGGTAAAACATAGGGTTTGTTATGCTTACATGGATATTGTCATGCTTCTCTACCAAAATAACTGTCAACTCTACTAGTAGTGATACATTGCTCGTTTGTGTTTTTTAGTTTTATTCCTTGAGTGATGCAACTTTTGAATTACTTTATTAATTAACCATGGTTTCAATCAGGAGAAGGAGCTAATTGAGAGGCATAACTCATGGATTAATGATGAGTTGACAACCAAAGTCAATGATCTCTTAAACCTGCGTAAAACTCATTCTAAGCTTGAGGCAGACATGACTGCTAAACTTTCTAATGTAAGCTGATAGGGTAGATCTCTACATTCCCAAAATTTATCTGAGACTTGATGCAAACAGGTTCCCTGAAATCAGTATATCTGTTCTGTTCAGCTAGAGAGGAATTTCAGTGAATGTTCTAACTCGCTGATGTGGCACAAGGACAGATCTGGGGAGCTGGAGGTTAAGTTGTCATCCTTGGAGCAGGTTTTTCTTGTTTTTGTTTCCATTAGCTTATTAACTTGTCCGCTTCATTTCATTTTTCTCGTGCTAATGTTGTATCTTGATAATGTTTTGATAGGAACTATTATCCTCAAAAGATACAGCATCAAGGACAGAGGAACAGCTATCTTCTGAAATTTTGACTGTCAGTGTTTTTTATTTTTCTTTTTGTTTTTTCTTAACAGTATTTCCTCTTTTTTGTGTAATTTTTTAAAGGTATTTTTCTCATAAAAGTGCTTTGAGCTGGACACTTTGATCTATAATATATACGTATTTTCTTGAACCTCATTCATCCTCATTCATAAAATGCATTGAGTGTTTTTGCTGTATTTCATGAACTACAGTTCTTTACTACCTTATGTCAATTGCTGCATTTTGCCACGGCTTGGTGCTTCTAGGTGTTTCAACTGAAATTATCTCTATGTGATACTGCTTGCATATATCTGAATTTGAAGTTGAATAGTAAAGTGTGAAGATTCTTTTTTATCTTAAGCTAATTTTTTGTATGGTGGGCAATCATGATTGGATCCTTGTAAAAAATAATGTGTGTGAATAGAGTAATACAAGCATCAAATTTCCAGATATGTTGCAGCAAGTGAAATGCCATCTTAGCTTCTTTATAGTAGTATACCTTCATCTGAGTGATTAATTGTCTTTGTCACAGGATGCATATATGTTATGGAATCATCTAGATTTTTTCTACTTCCTTTGAAAAATATAGCTAGTCTTGATCATAGATTGTTCTTATTGACCAGTAGGCAGTAGTAATTGACTTCTTAGCTAGCAAAGAACTCTAGTATGCAAAATACATAAGAAAAACCATCTACTCACGTATTGCACTTAGTTGCAAAGTGTTAAGATCTTTTACAAAAGTTTTATTAACTCAAGACATTTTTAACCAAACTATAATTCGGCTGAGCTAAATTTTAATTTGTGTGAAACAAGGTTTTAAAAGGCGACAGTCCGCCTCGAGGTAGTGAGGCAGTTAGCCAGTTACATTTAACCTTTGAGGCTTAAGCCTCAACAGGGCCTCACAATGTTGAGGCGGTATGGCGTAAGCCTCAATTTCAATAAGAATTCGAAAAATTCTAAGGGTTATTTTTAAAAATATATTGGGCCTTTTTTTCACAAAAACTCTTTTGGGCTTGTTGACTGTATAGTTTTTAAGAAAATCTTAATAAACTTAGTAGATAATTAACACTTTTTTTCCCGACTTTAGCGTCAATTCCGCCTTTCCATCTTCAAACTTCAGTGGCACTTCTCTCTTGTGGGAGCAGCTAAGGTTCCTCTTTTCCAGCATCCCTCTCCCTCTTTTAAATTCAGTTCAAACTTCAAAGAATGATGTGACTTTTTTGCATGAACTTTTGTCCATTTTTTAATATTTATAAGGTTCGGAGATGCATTTGAGACATTTATGTTTTATATTACTGTTTTTAATTTTTATATATTTTTTTGTGTTTTAAGAATTGTGATACGGTGCCATTTTGTAAAATTCAGGAATTTTTGTTTTATTATTTATTTAACATGAAAATGGATTATGCATTTTGTTTTACCTCGTAGTAAATATTTTAGTATTATTTTTTTCATATTGAATTGTGCGCTATGCTTAATTCCGCCTCGTGGCTTACACCTCAAGGAATTTTTCCGCACTACCTCTAGGCTAGTTTTCGCCTTTCAAAACCTTGGCGTGAAATGTGAAAAGAGTTGAATTATATTGTTTGATGATGGTTCTATAGCTTCATTTGACAGTTAAGACATCATGCTTGCATGTTATGCATTATTTGACCTAACTTCTGCATACTTCAATTTTTTTTAATTCATGTAGTTAAATAAGCTCGTGGAACTATACAAAGAGAGCTCGGATGAGTGGTCTAAGAAGGCAGGTGAGCTTGAGGGCGTGATCAAGGCATTGGAGGTCAGTTGTTTTATTTACATGCAACACATATTAGGAACTCAATCATGGGCTTACATGGCATACCATGGATCTAATGTGATCAATTATCCTTCCCTTGTATTATCTACTATTACTATCATTCGCCCTTGGTTCCTTTAATGGGTGCACATGTTTTTGATGAGGCTAATAAAAATACATTTTTTCTGCTGTTTCTGATCAGGCCCATTCAAACCACATTGAAACAGACTACAAAGAGAGGTTTGAGAAGGAAGTTTCAACTAGGAAAGAATTAGAAGAGGTATGCAGTGTGTTATGATACTAAGACATTATAATCCTAATTGCGTTAGGGTCTAGTGGGTCAAGATGTACACAACCTCTTTAGAGAGGCTTTTTGTGATTGATAACATGATTTGCAATTTTCTAGCTGAAATACTTGCTTTGAGTTTTAAGTAGTTAGGAAATGAAGGCAGATGAATAACACATTCATGACCAATTGATTGACTATTTATACTGATTTTTTTGTTTGTTATTCTAGATTTGGTTGTAAAACACTACTATCCCATTGCACTATATTTGTCCCTTTTTTACCTTTTGTTTTTCCCACCATTTTGTCTCATACCATATTTAGTAATATTTGTGTGGGTCACATCCATTCTTACTTTTTTACTTATTTTACGTGCCACTACTCTATGTCCCAAAAAATACTGGGATGGTGGGAGTATGTCAAGATATTACTTTTTTGGTGATATGGCATGACGATACCAATTATGCCATTTTTTTGATGAAATTGTGAATATGAAATAGTTATGGAGAAAGGTGAATTGAATTGTTCAATTATAGATTAAGAGTTGCTGAGGGGACTATTTTATCAAATTTGAACTTCAATTTTATATATCTTTGGATTTGGATGGAGTAGGCTGTTGCATCTCTGAAGGAAAAACTTGCAACATGTGAAAAGGAATTGGAAAGAAGCAAGGCACATGGTAACACAATACCTTTGAGTAGTTTCAATACTGAACTGTAAGTCCTTTTCCTAAATCACATGTTATCTAAAAAAACTGTAGGTACCTATCCAATCCATTCTTTCTTAAATCTTTAATATTAAATTTTGCCACTGTTTTTTTTACATGACTACATAGTGTAAACTTATTTTAGACAATTGGTTGACACTAAATTGACACCACTAACACTAACAAGTTTAATTGGATGACGATGTTGATAATGATTATATGACATTTATGAACATGTTATATACTCCATGGTATGCATGGCTATCTTACCATTTTAATTATGGCCCTTGCAATAAGACTTGACAATGTAAACAATATGTGGGAACATATCTATGTTGAAGATCATGTCAGAATTTAATCTCCTTAATAATTTGTAGGAAGTTTGCAATAGGATGGCCATGTTACGTACAATTTGGCACTGTATCTTTACCAGAATTTAAATGTTAACTAGTTTTAAACATTTTAAATAACACCTTTAATTACATCACATAGTTGTAATATATCGCGTGCTTTATCTCCAAACATCTTTTTTACCAACCCTATTCAAATCTTTAAGGATTTTATTAAATCCCTGCAATTTGAAACTTTTAACATTCTACAGAACTTCCATTTTCTTAGCTGCAAGTTTGCACTTAACCAACCTATTCACTATTTGGGTAGGGGTAGACTGTGTGTTACTGTGTACATCTCGCACTTAACCAACTTATTCACTTTTTGGGTAGGGGTAGATTGTGTGTTACTGTGTACTTTTCTCCCCTTGAGACCCTCTGGCATACTGGAAACGTTGGCTTACTATAAATTTCATTTGACTGATCCCTACATAGGCTGAAACAAGGTGATGATGCCACTAAATTCAATTTCCAATCCTATAACCTCAACGGTGTCAGTGCATGTTTTTTAACTGTATGATTTGTTTGTCGATTTGAAATTTAAGAAAACAATGCTGAACTGAATTGTTTGTATTTTTATGTGTTATGACGGATGTAAGAAAGATAACAAACAATAAAGAAACGAAAGAACAAACACACACAGATTTAACGTGGTTCACCAACAATATGTTGGCTACGTCCACCTAACAGAAGAGAGGAGAGCTTTTACTGATTGAGGAGAGAGATTACAGAGGGATTTTCTAGGTGACTGATCTATATCTGAATGCCTTACAAATGAACCTATTTATAGGAAAGATGGCAGCCAACTTGGCT